TTTCACATTTATACAGTTTCTAGAGGGGTCCATTTCAATGTCAAATTCGTTTTATTAACGCGCAGCAGCTAGGATTTTAATTTATTCGGAAACTTTTCTCTCTATCAGAAACAGAGATAAGTCAGCTACCTTGCCATTGGTCGCCAGTGGTAAAGGTGTGCGGTGTATTAGATGAAACTTGCAAATTCTGTTTGGCAGTTAACTTGGTGGATTCCATCCTAAAGAGACTGTCTCCAGTGCTCAAAATTGAAGAGGAGCAAATGGAACATGGACGAGATGAAAGTGCGATACCTGTATAAAGTCTGAGTCATTTTAATATATAAATTACAGTTACGTTTTCTACTGTGACCTTGTTATCTTACAACTGATGCATTTGCAAAAATCGTTGGAATCGCGAAATTGTACAATTTAATGGCATGTGGCTAATATAAGTAATGACACAAGTGGATATGATATCAAATATGTTGCATCTGATATGAGGCAATATCATATTCAATCCCGTGAATGAGGCTGGAAGAATAAAGCATTGAGAGGAACAAATGTAATGAACATCAGGATGTTGCACGAGTTTGGTCAATACCTGTACATGCCACCAATAAAACAGTCTCAGTTTAGTTCTTACAACAGCACGCTCTACCAGCGGAGCTACGAGGCCACATCGATAGCACTGATCTTTTCACATCGGTGTGACCTTGTAGCTCAGTTGGCAGAGCGTGCGCGTACAAAACGTAGGCGGCGTCCATGCGTGGGTTCGAGTCCCACCGAGGCTACTGAACTTTTCACAATGGCCATACAAAATTAAAATCTGCCCAACAACAATTTGAACAGTCTATACAGAAAGCGGAACGTAATTCATTTTCTGTTTGATTCTAAACAAATACTAATTAATGTCATTTTGGTGGAATGGATTTGATTGTCATTTTGTCATATAGATAGAAAAAGACGGGATTGACAACCATGGAAAGAGAGTGGCTGCCGGACAAAACGTCTCATAATGAAACGGAAATGAATAGGGATAAGGTAATTTCGCTCGGAACAGTCAATTTGTACGATGTTTGTTAGAATTTTGGAAAGAGTACCACGAAACACGAGTGCTAGCCTGATTCAAGCAACAGAGTTATTAGAATTGGGTATCATTTTTAAAACACAACAGTCGACGTGCAAGATTTGCCAGTAATATCATAAAGTGGAACAAATGTATTTTGCATGGAATTAGATGTAAGACGCTCTGGCTTGGTGAAACTCAATGAAACCACTGGGAATGAGGACAGAGAAAAAACTGTGGCAAAAACACGCAAGTGAAAAAACTCACGTGAAACTGGCTCTGGAACTTCAATCTATACTAAATACTAGAGTAAACGCTCAAGACAACCCGAATGAAAGCAGCAACAAAAAGACGAAAAATGCGATTGATACACGGTGAGAGAAATCTAGTCAATACACCATGTACAGCATAGTTTGGATGAAATTCAAAACAAACAACTAACTTGCTGGCTATGCTGCAAATCCTGAAGCTGTTGTTCATAGTTGACACACATTGCGCATGGATTAGATGGTTGTCTGGGAACCTCTTTCAATTTGGATTGAAGTTGAATCCAGGATGTTTCGGTCAGTGGCGCCGTACTATCAAATTCTGCATTAGTCTTACTGTCATCCTCTGAGTGAGTAGGTTGTTGTCCGTCTGGATTGGTATTATCACAAGCATGGGGTGTACCACACGGATTTGGTTTGACAAAGGTTACTGGTACGGTATCCGATTCGGTTGAATTAATTGGGACAGTCTTTTCCGGCACAGTGGACAAATTGGAAAGACCTAATCGTAACGAAGGTAAAGTGAGCGAATGGACCGAGAACAAGCGCATAGCATGAGCAAGTGTGAATTCACCCGGGGATTTCATCGCTTTTGAACGGTAAGGAATTGGCACAAAAGCAGGAAATATTCGGTACAAGTGCCACAACAAAACTGAGCAAAGTGGTGAATCGATTGAACTAATTATACGCGTGCTCTCTCTCGCTCTTGCTCCGATAATCACGTGGTTGTGTATGCGGATAAAAAACTGATGATCAACATTAGGGTGGATGGACATACAATGCGGTAGACAGACAGATACGAAGGGCGATAACAGACAGTCAGTGGAACCCGTTGTTTTTCTAGGGGCGTTACAAAGTAAGGATGAAACAGTCGTAATGATTTTGTGACATAAGGAAGAATAAGATGCAGGGCTAGGAAACACAACGCTAATCTGGTCCGCAATCACCTGATATTCTATGCGTGAAACTATGGAGCAATGGTATCTGGAGAGAACTAAAAACCCGATTCGTGTTCAAGTGTCTGTGTGCGTCGATGGGAACAGAATAGGATAATTGCCCATTCATCCACAGCAGCTTGTCACGTCTACAGTTAGCAATAACCATCGCAGTGAGGAAAAACCACCACCAGGACAACAACAACTCTATTCGAGACAGCAAGAGACAAGGGCTTGAGTGAGCAATAGTACTATGTAAAGCATTGTACTGGATTTAGTCTCAACTTCACTACTTGCTAGGTGAATGGATATATTTGAAGATTCATTGCTCAGATGACAGACGGATAGAGTAAGGTCTTGGGTTGCTGTTCACTCAGAAAGCATGTGAAAATCAAATGTTACTTCATAAAAAAACAATCAGATTATTCTTCTGGCGCGCGGAAAAAGATGATCTCCGCATACATCACGCCGTTAATCTCTTCCTTCTCTGTCACAGAGGGTATCGAAAACTTGTAGGAAATGTAGTCGTTTAGAGCATCCTGTGATACTGTTATAATTCCAGAAAGCGGTGCCGGTCAAGGATATGGTTAAATTGTCAATCATGCAACAAAATATCTCATTTGGAACAAGTTGGCAGAATTTCCGCAAACATACAGGATGTGTAATGTAACGGTCCACTAACAGATGCGCATTCTTGTCTTCACCGTACCAAACAGCAACAATTTACTCCAACAGATCTTATTCATTTTTGGTCGTTGAAGGAAATCGCTGATCGCAACTTTTTGCGTACTACTCACAAGTGAGTAATATCTCACAACACTCTTCCCCCCCCCCTCTCAGCGAAAAGGAACTCTAAATGCAGCGGGCAATGAGTTCTTTCTTTTGAGAGTTCGAACGAATTCGTATTTGGTTGACAGTTTCTTGTGGNNNNCGACCAGTCGGTTGATTTCTGATGATTTTTTGGAATACGGCTTTGATTCGAGGACATCTATTGGGTGCACTTCGATACATCATCATCGTCATTATCGTACATCCAAATACATTGAAGCGAACTTCACTGATCGCTGCCAAATTCGCGATACAAACAAGGTTAGTGGTAAATCTTAAGGTGGACAGGGATTGGATCTATTTTGGGGGAGGGAGAAGAAGATGAGCCACTATGGTCAACACAGAGTAAGCAATCGAACTCTGCATACATACCGTTTCAAGCATTCTGACCTGATAAGAAAC